TATATTTTTGACTGTGGCAGAGCCTAACTTGTCAAAAATAATAGCAATATGTATATATATCCTTGACTGTGGCAGAGCCTATCTTGTCAAGAATAATAGTAATATGTATACATATCCTACCTTTCTTGACCGGGTAGAGCGCTCGTGCTGATAACGTGTTATAAAATGAGATGAAAATAAAGAGCACAATGTCAAAACCGGATATAAACTGTAACTGATTTTCTTTGCTTTCAATGTTCATTTTTCCGTACGAAAAATCTCATTACATCTCTTGCCTATTTATAGCCAAAATTGGCACACATTTCAACACACACTTAATAAAATAATACAAAGATAAAATTGAATAGTGGTAAAATTCCACCACTTGTTTATAACAGTTTTCACAATTATTAATAATATTAGAATTAAGTTCGCAAAACGAGAGCCATTGGGAGCACTTGGTGGGGGTACGGGTGGGACCAGTTTCTGCCTTTTTCTGTGGTCGAGAGTATTGTCGTACCTTCTTCTGGGCCACCATCCACGGTCCTGGCCCAAAATCCGGGGCAGCTGTTTGTGCCGTATGAGACCCCAGATCTTTAATTTGTCCCTCTGTGGATTTTCCCCCCGTGTCCGTCTGGCCTTCTGTAGCTGCTTTAGGACAGCAGGCAGCCTGGTGGCCATACATGCCACACGTAAAACAAATATCCGGTAGAGATTCATATTCGACCCTTTGGAACATGATGTCGTGGATGCTTCTCCGGGTGGAAGTGCTCATCCCAAGGAGCCACCCGACGAGGAGCTTCTGGAGGCTGAACATGATGTCGATGTTAATGTTGATCGTGTGGTCATGGTTGTGGACTCTGCTGCAGCCAGCGGCTGCTGATCCTCAAGACTCTCTCTCTCTCTCTCTCTCTCTCTCTCTCTCTCTCTCTCTCTCTCTCTCTCTCTCTCTCTCTCTCTTTGTCTATTTTTATGAATATATTAGCCTGGAATGTCCAGGGGGCCGGTTCCAGCCGTTTTGCTGGCGCCTTCTCTACAACTATTTCTCAGGTCCGACCTATGGTTGCAGCACTACTTGAACCACGGATCAGTGGAAAGAAAGTTGATAGTTTTATACGACGTAGTGGATTTTCCCATTCCTTTCGGGTGGAGGCACATGGCTACTCCGGTGGCATCTGGGTGTTGTGGAAGGAGTGTTTGGGTAACGGTTTTACGAAGTCACAAACAATTCATTCATCTCCGGCTCTCTTCTAATAATGTCGAGTTTGTCGTCACCTTCATCTACGCGTCCCCGAACTCGCGGGGTCGACGTGACTTATGGCCCATGCTCGAGGATCTATCCAACACTATCACGGGCCCTTGGCTCCTGGGAGGAGATTGGAACTGTATTCGGAAGCCGGTGGAGCAATCAGGTGGCGCAGCCCGTGGAGGGCACCCATGCCCGAGCTTCTCTAATTTTATTTTTTATGGTGGCCTTCATGAAGTCCGCACGGATGGCACCCCCTTTACTTGGTTCCGTGGCGATCTCTCCAAGAAGCTGGATCGGTTTTTGTGTAATGACGAATGGCTGGCACTTTTCCCGGATGCGCTAGTCGCTCACCCTGCTCGACTCCACTCAGACCATACCCCAATTGTGGCTCGGTGTACGTCTCGTCCCACAAGCCGTGTGGGTTCTAAACCGTTCCGTTTCCTGGCTCCGTGGCTATTGCATGAGGGCTTTCGGGACGTGGTCTCTGACTGCTTTGTCGCTGGCCAGAATTTTGTGGACGCCTCACGTGCTTTCGTAGATACGGCTTCAGCATGGAATTATGAGGTTTTTGGTAATATCTTTAAGAAGAAAAATGAATTGTTTGCTCACATCGGGGGCATTCAGAGAGCATTGCAACGACGTCACTCGGACCGCCTCCTTGATCTGGAACAACGGCTTCGTAAAGAGCTGGACGACATCTTTTTGCAAGAAGAACTTCTAATGCTCCAAAAATCAAAACGAGATTGGACGCTTTTCGGGGATAAGAACACTGCATTTTTTCATCGACATGTCAAAGTTCGAAGACACCGAAATCGGATTGTTGCGCTGAAGGATGATCTTGGCCATACCATTGACGATCTGGGTGCCCTACAGTCAATGGCGGTGGATTACTTTCGCGCTATGTATACTGCCGGTGTTGGCCAGCCCCCCATCCAGTCCGCTGACTCGCATTTTCCGCCACTGCCCCCTGGTATAGTTGCTTCCATTGATCGGGACATCTCGGATAGTGAAATTTTTGACGCCTTGAAGGCTATGGGACCTCTCAAGTCACCTGGCCTCGACGGGCCGAATGCCCTCTTCTTTCAAAGTCAGTGGGAAATCGTTGGCCCGGCGGTGTGCCGCCTCATTAAACACATTCTGGGCGGGGGTGCGATGCCGTTGGAGATTAACAAAACACTAATTGTTCTTATCTCTAAAGTGGAGCATCCCGAGAACCTTAAACACTTTCGGCCCATCAGTCTGCTCAATGTGATCTATAAACTGATGACCAAGGTGTTGACCAATCGGCTTAAACCGGCACTCCCTCTCTTGATTGGCCTGGCTCAAGTGAGTTTTGTCCCAGGACGTCACATCTCTGATAACATTATTGTCGCCCAGGAACTGATCCACTCTATGCGGGTCAAAAACGGAGCCAAAGGTTACATGGTGGTGAAGGTGGACCTTGAAAAAGCTTACGACTTCCTTCGTTGGGATTTCGTGGAAGCTTCTCTTGTCGCCGCTGGACTTCCGCCACGTTTTATTGCTAACATCATGAAGTGCGTCTCGTCCTCCTCTATGCAGATCCTATGGAATGGCGCCCCAAGTCATGAATTTCAGCCCTCCCGAGGAGTGCGCCAAGGGGACCCCATCTCACCGTACTTGTTCGTACTATGCATCGAGCGGCTGGCGCATTCTATTCAGCGAGATGTCGATAATGGGACGTGGAAACCCATGTCCTTGGGAAGGGGGTCTCTTACTATACCATATCTTTTATTTGCTGATGACCTCCTCATTTTCTTGGAAGCTGATGCCAGTAAAGTTGCTGTTCCGAAGCGTGTCTTGGGAGCCTTTTGTGGCGAGTCAGGCTTGCGGATCAGCGAGCCAAAAACCACAATATTCTTCTCAAAAAATGTCCCTCCTGCTACTCGTGAACAACTGGCTGTTGGTATGGGCTTTTCTATTGTCGATAACCTTGGAAAATATTTGGGGGTTCCACTTCTTCATGGGAGGGTTGATAAACGCACCTATGCTCATATTCTTGACAAGGCTGAGTCGAAGCTATCGGGATGGATGGCCTCATCCCTCTCATTGGCTGGTTGCGTGGTCCTCGCACAATCCGTCGTCAGCTCACTCCCGACTTATACTATGCAGTCTGCGTGGATCCCAAGCTCGGTATGCAACGACATCGAGAAGATTTATAGACGTTTCATTTGGGGAGGGACCGCTGACCGCCGCAAGCCGAGCCTTGTCTGTTGGCCAGACATATGCAAACCTCGTCGTGCCAGTGGCCTTGGCATAAAGTCTCAACGCAAGATGAACGAGGCTCTATTGATGAAACTGGCCTGGGGCTTTGTGACGAAGCCGGATGCACTTTGGGTGCGCACTTGGCGTGCTAAATACGGCCTGGACCCGTTTACTTTTCGTGGTCGCTCTTCACCCGCCTCACATATCATGCAAGCGACTCGGAAGGTCTGGCCACATGTTTCAGTGGGCTCTAAATGGGTGGTGTGCAATGGGGAGACAACGCGGTTTTGGTTAGATAGTTGGGTGCCGGGCATGGGGAGGCTATCTGACGTCGCTACGTCGCTGGTACCACCGGAAGATATTGAGCTGCCGGTCGCCGCGTTCTCCTCCGATAATCACGGCTGGGCCTGGCACTATTTCGCTCATCTGCTCCCGTCTTCCGCCATGCTGAAAATCGCTGCGGTGTCGCCGCCTCGTCCGAGCCTGGGGGCTGATCGGCTCTACTGGGCGGCATCGGAGAATGGCAAATTTACCACTAGCTCGGCCTACCGTTTTCTAACAACCGTTGAGGATGATATTCGGGACCCTTGGCAAGCTGTTTGGAGATGGCCTAGCCCACAACGCATCCGCCAGTTCCTTTGGCTGGTTTTTAAGGGTCGGCTTATGACGAACGTTGAACGTGGTCGCAGACACCTTTCCTCATCAGCAAGCTGCCATAAGTGTCCGTTGCTTGAGGAAACTCTCCTGTACGTCCTCCGCGATTGCCCGGCTGCCTCCCAGGTCTGGCTCCGCTTGGTCCCGGTGGCCGCGCAACCGAGATTATTTTGTCTCCACTTCCGTACATGGCTCACATCTAACCTTTTTAGTCGCCCCTACGTCCTTGTGGATGATGACTCTTGGGAGTGTACCTTTGGTGTCAATTTGTGGAAAATATGGGTCTGGAGGAACTCTTTGGTATTCCAAAGTAGTGAAGTGGATGCATTTGGAAAAGTGAGGGACATCCGAGCTTTTGTGCATAGCATAGTGCATTTTGCTGAGGGGGCTAGGAGGGTTGGCAGTACCGGGCCTACGCGGGTCCAGCGTCTTGTACGTTGGGAACCGCCGCCGGACACTTGGATAAAGATGAACTCGGATGGGGCCCATATTGCTTCCTCTAGATTGGCATCTGCGGGCGGGTTGCTCCGGGATTCCCACGGTGCTTGGCTTGGCGGTTTTGTGATGCAGATTGGGGTCTGCTCTATTGTGGGAGCCGAATTATGGGGCTTATATCAGGGCCTTACTTTGGCATGGAATCTGGGGTATCGTCGGGTAGAGGTTGAAGTCGATAATTCACGTGTCGTGGGTTTCGCTATGAATACTGAGGATATAGCAGGGGTCCTTTATGGTTTATCCTGGGGATACGTGAGATCCTTAGTCGAGATTGGCAGGTGCGAGTTTCCCACATCTTCCGTGAGGCTAATTTTGCGGTGGACTATCTAGCAACTTTGGCGGCTTCGGCTGCTCTTGGGTGCAACACGCTCTCTTCTCCGCCTCCTGGAGTAGTTCCGTGGATCGAGCATGATTTGAGGGGCGTCTCCTATCCACGAAATGTTTGCATTTCTTAGTTTGTGAGCAACCACTTTCTTTGTACCAAAAAAAAAATAATAATATTAGAATTAAGTGGAAATAGCTATTTTCACCCGCTTTAGAGATGGGCGTGCGAAATACTTAAGCGATATAAGTTATACGACCGACAAAAGAAGATAATCGAATAAGTGTGATCTCATTATATGATCAACTACGCGATAGAAAGACAAAGTTAACTAAACAAGTGTGAACTATTTATACTATTAACTATGCTGAGAAAGACAGAATATAATTAGGCAAGTGTGATTTACTCAGAAATTCTATGGTGCCCTATTATGAGGTGGCATATGACGTGACTTTATTATTTATATCTCTCAATCCCTACTGGCATAAATTAAATAATATTTTTTTTAATGATTTTCCCAACCAAAATTAATTAAAACCCTTATTCCCCAAAATCAATTCATAAGTCTGTTTCCCCAAATTCTCTTGCAACTCACAACCTCACACACCGACCTCAACAACTCTTTAATGAGTCATCCATCTATTTATTTTTATGAATGATGATTTATTTGAAAAATTATACAAAAATATAAAATAATAATCAGAAGACGTGTTCCTATTTTCTTTCCAAATTTACCAGACTCAATTGAAGACATTTAGAGCGCGAGAATATGGAAGCCAAGATTAATTAGTTCTTCGGGTCTGTCACTAATTTCTTCGGCGGTGGAGATCAAATCCCTTTGTCGACACCTTATGTTGTCCTCGTACGCAATTTTTTTACATCTTAATTCTTTTTACTCTATCGTTAATAATTATCATTTCTTATGTTTCCTCAGTTTTTTTTTTAACTGGAATTTTAGACAATTTTATATGTTATTAGATTTGTCCCTTTATTACTGATATGGGTTCTCAATTTCAGTTGTGAAAGATAGATTCTTGAGCAAAGCCCAAGTTTTTTTTTTTAAAGAAGGGATTTCAATTTCTTTAGGAGCGGATCGTGTTGCTCAAACGAAAGCCAATCGTGAAGCCAGATATGTTGTCGGTAATTTGTTTTGTAGGCGCAGATCGTGTGAAATAAATATGCAATAAATTATGCGACAGGAAGGTGAAGCTATTGGGTAAGTGCAAAATATTATATGCGATAAACTATGCGGCGAAAAAATGTATATAATTTAGCAAGTGCTAAAAAATTATGCGATGAACTATGCGAAAGATAGGCGAATCAATTAAGAAAGTGCGAAATAAATATGCGATGAACTAGGCGACAGAAAGACGAAGATAACTGAGCAAGTGTGTAAACATTATGTGACACTATGTGACAAATAGGCAATTAACATGCAGAGATTTGTGTGAACGATTTGGTCAATCCCGCATTTTAGTTGTACATCATATTACATTAAATATATTTGTTATATTTTTTTAATTAAAATATGTGATTATTAGACGAATTCATAATTGATGGAAGATTAATTTATTCAAAATTTTATTTTGGTAATCTGCGATTATTACTCGACCGTTGTTCTGACGCATATTTGTCTCATAGTTATTATTTAATATAAAAAATAGTAAAAACATTTAAGACATGCTACGAAAGACTGCCAAACAAATACAAATACCGAATCGCGTAATCATTATATTTATTTATTTATTAAAATGCGTCAAACTGTGATCTGTGTAACCATATCTTTTATTTTTCTATTATAATATAAAATTATTAGTGAAAAGGCCGACTACGAGTTCCTCAATGGATTCTATGGGAGAGGCCTTTGCCGGTAGGGTTAAAGTGAATTCTGATGGCTCTTATAATGGGTTGTCGGACTTAGGTTGTGCCGGCAGCCTTATACGTGACGAACACGGAAGGTGGTTAGGGGGATTTACAATGAAAATAAGCTTCTGTTCGATAATGGCAGCGGGGTTGTGGGGGCTCTTTCGGGGTCTTGCTTGACTTGGGATATGAGCTTTCGACATTTGGAGGCAGAAGTACTTGATAATGCGAGTGTTGTGGGGTTTTATGAATCTTTGGGTGATGCATCGGGGGTGCACACGGGCCTCATCTTGGGTATCAACGACCTTTTAGGTCATTCTTGGACGATTAAGGTGAAACATGTATTCCGCAAAACGAATTTTGCGACCGACCATATGGCTTCCTTCGTTGCGGACGGTTTGGTGGGGTACCATGTCTTTCACGATCCACCCGATGGGGTACGACAGTGGCTTCGTCATGATCTTATTGGCGTGTCATATTCGCGAAACGTTTGTGACTTAAACTCATAGGCCTGAGACAATTTCTTTGTACCTGTTATCATCCGAATCGGTAAAACTACATTAAGAGATTCCAAACATCACATTAAGAGGAGAACAACCATTGAACCGACGTAATTTTAACACCACTCCGGTCCAGACGATGAACCGGACCGAATTACCGAAGACCGAAGTGGTCCGCGCCTACCGAAGTCTATTCAAACCGAGATCGCCACCTCCTTAAGCAGGTGACAAGGTGTCTACGTACAACCATTCTGCTCTACAAGATCCGTCATCATTCATGTGGGACCCCCCTGCTCCAAACCGCCCACAAAAAGTTACTTTATTCAAAAAGTAGTACACAGATCCCAATGTATCTATCAAAAATTACTATAAATAGTGGACCCATGACATTTGTACGGGGACCTCTCTCTCCGAACCGAAAAAACTTCATTAAACAACACGTAAAAGCCCATCACGGCTCTTCACCTCGGTTCACCTCGGACCGGGGCCATCGTTGAAGTTACTTTACATGCTTTACGTCCAAATCATTCATAATTCTCATCTTAATCACGTATTACATCGTTGTTAGAAATCGCATAACAACAGTTTGGCGCTAGAGGAAGGGCTTGAACCTTCGACCTTGTGGTTAACAGCCACAAACTAAACCTCGATCGAACAGTCCGGCCTGTTGTGCAAAAGAGAAGGAAACTGGGGCCGGATCGTCAGAAGGCATTGGAAGAAGAAGTCAAAAAACTCGTCGACAATAAATTCATCAAGGAAGCCAAATACCCGACGTGGGTCTCAAATCCTGTTCTTGTTAAGAAGAGCAACGGGTTGTGGAGATTGTGTATTGATTTTTCCGACCTCAACAAGGCGTGCCCAAAAGACAGTTATCCACTTCCCCATATAGATTATATGGTTGATGCCGCGTCGGGACATGAGTTGATGAGTTTTATGGACGCTTACTCCGGCTACAACCAGATTCCCATGGACCCCGAGGACTCTGAACACAGTTCATTCTATTCGGCCAGAGGTTTGTATTGTTACACTATGATGCCGTTCGGATTAAAGAACGCCGGAGCCACATATCAACGTCTTGTCAACAAAATGTTCGCAACATTGATCGGACACACTATGGAAGTTTATGTTGATGACATGCTCGTCAAGTCGGTGCACGCCTTTGATCATATAACGCATCTTCGAGACATGTTCGCCATCCTCCGATCTTATTCCATGGTGCTGAATCCTAAGAAATGCACTTTTGGAGTTGAATCCGGAAAGTTTCTGGGCTATATGGTTAGCCAGCGCGGGATTGAAGCCAATCCGGCCAAAATAAAGGCCGTCCAAGATCTAACTCCCCCAACCTCGGTCAAGGGTGTTCAAGCCCTAACTGGCCGACTTGCTGCACTCAACCGGTTCATCTCCAAGTCTACAGATCGTTGTAAGCCTTTTTTCGAAGCAATCAAGAAAGGGAAACGTTTTGAATGGACTGAGGAATGCCAAAAAGCTCTTGACAATATCAAGGAGACGCTGATCTCTCCCCCGACTTTGCAAAAGCCGAAACCCGAGGAAATGTTGTTCTTATACCTCGGAGTTAGTGAATCTGCCATTAGCGCTGTTTTGATACGCGAAGAGGGGTTGCTGCAATCACCCATCTATTACGTCAGCAAAGCCTTGCACGATGCCGAAATACGTTATCCTCCGATGGAGAAGTTGGCATTTGCCCTTGTGATTGCAGCCCGGAAATTACGACCATACTTCCAAGAGCATTCTATAACTGTTCGCACTTCGTATCCACTTCGGCAGATCTTGCACCGACCTGACACCTCGGGACGCATGGTTAAATGGGCCATTGAGCTCGGACAATTCGATATCCACTATCAACCGAGAACCGCAATCAAGGCTCAAGCCTTATCTAACTTTATCGCTGAGTTTACCCCGGCCATCGCAGTTCACTATAATAATCAACCATGGGTCCTCTATGTTGATGGCTCTTCAACAGCCAACCGAGCAGGTGCAGGGATAGTCTTAGCTGATGCAGAGAATCGGTTATTCTGTCACTCGGTGAAATTCCTCTTTCCGGCAACAAACAATGAAGCCGAATACGAAGCGCTGCTATCCGGATTGAATTTGGCAGAGTCCATGAACGTGACCCACCTCAAAGTCTTCTCGGACTCCCAGCTCCTTGTTAATCAAGTCAATGGTTCATATGAAGTCAAAGAACCTCGGTTGACACCCTATCTCTCTTTGGCCAAACGGAAATTATCAAAATTCTCCGCCGACCTCGAGCATATCCCCCGAACTCTCAATGTTCAAGCAGATGCCTTATCTCGACTTGCGTCCAGTACCGGGATGGAGAGCGCGGAGTACGTCCAAATCGGCCAACAAGAACAACCATCAACTGCCCTTTCCGAGGTCACAACCATCAATCCGGTAACATTACAAAAACCACCAACCTGGATGGATCCCATTATCCACTATCTAAAAACCGGGGCCTTACCCGCAAACCCAAAGGAAGCTCGAGCACTTCGGATTCGGGCAGCTCGGTACACATTAGACAACGGAACTTTGTTCAAAAGGGGATACTCCGTTCCACTTTTGAAATGCGTAAGTGAAACTGATTCACGGTACATCCTTGAAGAAGTTCACGAAGGGATTTGCGGAAGTCACCCCGGTGCACAAGCATTGTCTTATAAAATCCTGCGGCAAGGTTACTACTGGCCGACCTTGAAAACCGACGCCGCCACATGGGTGCGCAAATGCCCGAAATGCCAAATGTTTGCACCGAATATTCATCAATCTCCCGAAGAACTAAAATCAATTTACAGTCCGTGGCCTTTTGCCAAATGGGGGATTGATCTTATTGGTCCTCTACCAACCGGAAAGGGAGGTGTCCGGTTTGCTATTGTGGCAGTCGACTATTTCACTAAATGGGCCGAGGCCGAACCGTTAGCCACGATAACCGAACAGAAAGTCGTAGATTTTGTGTGGAAGTCAATTATCTGTCGCTTCGGGGTACCGAATTCCATCATAACCGACAACGGAAAACAATTTGAAGGCAAACGACTTGAATCCCTGTGCGAAGAGTACAACATCAAGCACTTCTTCTCATCGCCTTACCACCCGCAGTCCAACGGTCAAGTTGAAGCTGTAAACAAGCTCATAAAGAATGGTCTCAAAGTCCGACTTGACGCCGCCAAAGGAACTTGGCCTGAGGAGTTGCCACATATCCTGTGGGCTTACCGAACTACCACTCGGACGTCTACCGGCGAGACCCCATTTTCCCTAACTTACGGTTCCGAAGCCATAGTTCCGGTGGAGCTCGGAGAACCGACCTACCGAGTTCAGCATTTCACCGAAGAAGCAAACTCGGAAAACATGAAAGCTAATCTGGACCTGCTTGAAGAACACCGTACCCGGTCCGAACTCAAGAATGCTGCGTATAAGCAAAGAAATGAAAGATATATCAATTCTAAACTCAAACCCCATTCGTTCCGAGTTGGAGATTTGGTCCTCAAACGTATAATGGGACCTGACCCCGAACCACTCAGACCGCGGTGGGAAGGACCCTTTCAAATCATTAAAATTCTACCTCATGGGGCCTACCGAATTGCTCATCCCGATGGAACACCACATCAATATCCTTGGAATGCAGTGTTCTTGAAAAAATTCTATCAGTGAAGGATCCGAAGTCGCATAGTCGACCCCCCTCTTGTACGGACCTTCTTTTGCCTACGGTGAATGCACGAAATCACCTCTTTTGATGTACTGAATAGCGTGTCAGTTTGCGTATTTTGAGAAGTCGAGCAACAAGCTCGATACTGATGTAAACCTTTTGAAACTCGGTTAAATATATCATGCCGATGTAAGCATTGCGACACTCGGTCTAGCTGATACCCCGTAATATGTCCGAGTACCACTTATTCTCGGATGAGGGTGATGCTCGTCAAACGTCATTTCAACATACGTGATTTGACGGGCCCCGAATACTACCGAATACACAACATATAAGTCGGTTGGGGCCATTCCATAATCGGACTCTGACGAAGTCCGGTGACTTTCATTTTTCGTACAGCCCTAAAAATGTGTTGAGTTCTGCGAAGTTATTTGAAAACTCGCATATCGACTTACACTTGTGGCTGAGATTCTTATAAACGATCAAAGTGGAATTCGGAAGTTATTTTTATAAAACCTTACAACTCGGATCATGATTTAAGTAATTCCGAGTTGAAGCAATTCATTTTCTAATGAAAACCGAATTCAGAACACTTGGTCAAAAAGTCGCTGAAATTTGCACAGCAAACATAAAATCAAAATCAAGCATATGCGAATACTTTATATATAAATATATTCTGAAATGTTTGGGAAATCCCTTACATATTTCCTACTAAGGGATCCGGCTATCCGATATCCCCGATTACATATCATACTTCAAGTATTTCCTACTAAGGATGCCGACATGCCGGCACCCCGATTACATTATGCAAAGAAACAATAAAAACAAAAAACAGGAAATCAACTTCAGACCTCATCGGTCGGCTTCTCCACATTCTCCCCGGCGCCGCTGCCTTCTCCAATTTCGGTCCCGGAAGACAATCGCTCCAAGACCTTTGATTCCTTCATCTTAGCAGCAGCTTCAATGGCCCCGTCCGGCACCGGGATGAAATCATCACGAGGGTCAGTCGGCTTCTCCACATCATCTTCAACCGGCGTGACTACCTTCACCACTTCAACCTCCTTGTCGGCCGACCTCGCCTTCTCTTCAATATAAGCTCTAACTCGGCCCCGAATCTGCTCCGGAGTCATATCGTCGAAATGCTGTTCGACCTCCACCTCGGCCAGAGTTGAAAGGTACGGCCAGCTCCTTCCTTTTTTCCTTCTCCTCCTCCAAGATCATGTTGACGTAAGCACGTCGGAGGAGAGCAGCCCTATCCTCGGAGAGTGGCGGCAAATCTGGATTTGCATTCATCTCTTCTGAACGGCGGAGCATCCATACGCAAAAATCTCGTTCATCTTCGTCGGCCGCCACA